AAGGAGTCTAGGTCTGTGGCGTGAGCCACAGGTGATGTCATTAAGTGAGACACAAGCCTGGATAGCAACAGATGAGAGGAACCTGAGGTCTCTGCTTTGCTCCTGTTCTAGACACCCAAGAAGAGATGTCAAGGAGGACGTCTGGTATTAGGAAGGACAAAGAAACGTGAGGAAAATGGAGTCATGGACAGGAAGACGACTTCTAGGGAGGAACGAAGCCCAGAGCAGGGGGAGGACTGAGGACAAATCCCCGGGTCTCCACAACACTGAGAAATAGAGCACGAGTGAGGAGGAGCCAGCACCAGAGGCAGGGGCAGAGCAACCAGTGAGGGGCGGGAGTCTAGGGCAGGAGGCATTTCCAGAAGGACAGAGTGAATGGGCATCTGTGTCTAATGCTGCCAAGGGGTCAACTCAGATGAGGGCAGAGATCTGACCGTGGCATGGCAAGAGCAGCTTTAGGGAGTGCTAGGCAGAGCCTGACTGGAGATGGAAGTGTGGAGTCAGGACAGCCAACGCTTTCAAGGAATTTTGCAATAGAAGGGGAGCAGAGAACTGGGATGATGGAGGTGAGGTGGTATCAGGAGACTTTGTTTTTTCTTAAAGAAGGAAGATTAGCCGGCTTTGGTGGCACACATCTGTAATCCCAGCACTTTGGGAGGCTGAGATAGGAGGATCATTTGAGCCCAGGGGTTTGAGACCAGCCTGGGCAAGACGAGACCCTGTCTCTACAAAAAATTAAAATACTAGCCGGGCCTGGTGGTGAGCACCTGTAGTCTTAGCCACTTGGGAGGCTGAGGTGGGATTATCCCTTGAGCCCAGGAATTCAAGGTGGCAGTGAGCTGAGATCGTGTCACTGCATTCCAGCCTGGGCAACAAAATGAGACCCTATTTCTTTCAAAATAAAAGAGGGAAGATGATAATATATTTACATGCTAATAGGAGTAATCTGGTGGGGAAAGCAAAGTTGATAACTTAGGAAGAGAGAGTGTGTAGTAAGCACAGCGCCTTTGATTGGGAGAAAAGCCTGGCCTGGCAGGAGGCAGAATGGGGACAGCCAGTCCCTCTGAGGAGAGGGAACAGGTGCAAGAGAGCCTGGGGTTGCTGAGTGAATGAGAAGCGGGTGTACAGGAATAAAAGAGGCAGCCAAGGTCCTGCCCTCAATAATGCTTACCTTCTGGTCAGGAGGGCAGACAACAGGCATGAACAAGGCCAAGTGGTGGGACCGGGAGTAACTCACTCAAGACCATGGCTCAGCCAGGTGTGGCGGCTCACACTTGTCATCCCAGCACTTTGGGAGGCCAAGGCGGAGGATCACTTGAGGTCAGGAGTTCCAGACCAGCCTGGGCAACATGGTGAAACCCTGTCTCTACAAAAAATACAAAGATTAGGCCGGGTGCAGTGGCTCATGCCTGTAATCCCAGCAATTTGGGAGGCCGAGACAGACAGATCACCTGAGGTCAGGAGTTCGAGACCAGCCTGGTCAATGTGGCAAAACCCCGTCTCTGCTAAAAATATAAAAATTAGCTGGGTATGGTGGTGCATGCCTGTAGTCCCAGCCACTCAGGAGGCTGAGGCAGGAGAATCGCTTGAATCTGGGTGATGGAGGTTGCAGTGAGCCAAGATCACACCACTGCACTCCAGCCTGGGAAACACAGCAAGACATCATCTCAAAAAAAAAAAAAAAAAGATTACCTGGGCGTGGTAGTGCGCAGCTGTAGTCCCAGCTACTCTAGAGGCTGCGGTGGGAAGATCACTTGAGCCTGGAAGGTCAAGGCTACAATGAGCTGAGATCACGCCACCGCACTCCAGCCTGAGTGACAGAGCAAAACCCTGTCTCAAAAAACAACAACAACAACAAGAAAACAAACCCAGCTCACTGGGAGGTAGCAAGTCAAGTGTTGGGGAGGACGTGGGGCAGGAGGACGTGGGGCAGGAGCACAGTGGGGTGCATGTGAGATTTGGGGTACATCCTCCAAAGGCTCAGAGAGTAAGGGGCAGTCTGAGGATCTCTGGAGAGGGGATGGCAGGGAGGAGCTTTGTGGGACACTCTGGCCTGCTAGAGGCCTCCTGGATCCCCTCCCCTATCCCCAGGAGGTGAGGGACATTGGAGAGAGGCGGGAGCCGGACCGTGTGCAGCAGCAGCCTCAGAAGCCCGTGGTGGCTGCAGGGACACAGAACCTCAGGAAATTCCGGCAGGGCTTCATGAAGTGCTTGCTGGAGGTGGAGAAGGTGGAAGCCTCCCATCGGAGAGCCTTGAAGGCCCGGTCCCTGACAGCCCAGAAGTCCCCTAGGACCCTGACCCCAGTGCCCACCTCATCCCCAAGCCTGCCTCAGACCCCTGCCTTGGCCCCTGCCAGTGGCCCATCGTGGGCCAGGCTGTCAGCTCCTGGGCCAGAGCCTGCCCCCGTGGGAGCCCCGGTCCCCACCTCCACGCCTTGCCCTGTCCTGCTGTGCCCTGCCCTGGACCTGGGCTGGAGAAGGATGGAGCTCTCGCACCACAGCAGCGAGAGAACCCTGAGCTACGCCAAGGCACGGTAGGAGCCCCCGCTGCCCACCTGCCCGCTCCTGAAAGGCCCCAAAATCAGAGCCTTGTCCCAGATGCAGGTCCCTGTCCCTGTACCTGCCTGTTCCCTCATGTGTCCCCTACTCTCCATTTCTCCTCACGTGTCTCCTCTCCGCATCTCCCATGTCTCTGCCTCCTCTCCCATTTCTGACCCCTTTTCTAACTCCCCCGAAGGCGCCTCCCTCTAGTCCCCCTCTCCTCTACCCCACTCCTCCTCTGGGTCTCCTTTTTCCTGCCATTCTTGAGCCCTCCTGGCTCCTCAAAGCCTCCCCAACGACCTCCTCCTGCAGGCTTCCCCAACCCCTCCGCTAGCTGTCAGCAGGGTGGGCGGCCGGATGTTGCCCTGGGCCGGGGTTCTGTCCTCTGCAGGCAGGAGCCGGAAGAGCAGAGCCTCCAAAAGCTGTATCAAAACCGGGAAAAGTCCGAGGAGCAACTGACCCTGAAGCAAGAGGAAGGTGAGGGCAGGGAGGCCAGGGAGGTCCCAGCACAGGCAGGACCCTTGGTCCTTGGGGGTTTATAGGTGCAGGGCAGACTGGGGTGTTTTCCAGATCACACGGCTGCCGCCATGCCCACCACAGCCCCGTGTAGCAGATCCAGCAGCGGTTTTGCACTTGGCCTGTGGGGCAGGGCAGGGTAAGGGGGTGGCCCCAGCTCACAAAGCTGCTGGGTTGGCGGAGCCAGAACTCATGCTGGGTCAATTTTTTTTTTTTTTTTGAGAAAGAATCTCACTCTGTCGCTCAGGCTGGAGTGCAGTGGCACGATCTCAGCTCACTGCAACATCTGCCTCCAGGGTTCGAACGATTCTCCTACCTTAGCCTCCTGAATAGCTGGGATTACACGTGTGTGACACCACGCCCGGCTAATTTTTGTATTTTTAGTAGAGACGAAGTTTCACCATATTGGCCAGGCTGGTCTCGAACTCCTGAACTCAACTGATCTACCTGCCTCGGCCTCCCAAAATCTGGAATTACAGGCGTGAGCTACCGCGCCCGGCCTTGTGCTAGGTCTTCTGACTCGAAGTCCAGTGCTCTCCCTGTGCCAGAGCTGCCTCTCTGAGAGAATGACAGAAGCCTTGCAGAGTGATTTAGGTTTTGGAATAGTTTCTGCTTCCCTTAACCCAAGCCTGCTCCATGGTCCTCTTCAGAGCACCCTGGATGGGAGACAGGGCTCCAGGAACCCTGCCCATCCTAGACAGCCCCTCATCATTAAACAAGGCCACCAGCCTAAGCATCTCCCCCATTCCCACTGCATCTCACCTTCACCAAAAAGTTAAAAAGTTCTGAATGCCTACCCTGCTCTCTATTGTCCTCAGGACGGGGTCCTGTGACCCCACTCCCCCATCACCCTGGCCCTAGAAGAATGGATGTACATCCTCCTTCCATCCCCCACTCCTCCCCAAAGCCTGCAACCCTCTTGGCCAAAGTGGTCCCTTCCTCTGTCTTCCCTGGATGCTCTCACTGGCTCCCTGTGACCCCATCCTTTAAGTCCACCCCTTTTAGTATTAAAACCCTCTACCATGGCTGGGCACAGTGGCTCATGCCTATAATCCCAGCACTTTGGGAGCCTGAGGCAGGAGGATCGCTTGAGGCCAGGAGTTCAAGACTAGCCTAAGCAACATAGTAAGACCCCCATATCTACAAAAAATTTAAAAATTAGCCATACATAGTGGCATGAGCCTGTAGTCCCAGCTACCCAGGAGGCTGAGGTAGGAGGATCACTTGAGCTCAGGAGTTTGAGGTTATGGTGGGCTATGATTATGCTACTACACTCCAGCCTGGGGGACAGAGCAAGACCCTCTCTTAAAAATAAAATAATATACAACTCCAGCCGGGCGCGGTGGCTGATACCTGTAATCCCCACACTTTGGGAGGCTTAGGTGGGTGGATCACGAGGTCAAGAGTTCGAGACCAGCCTGACCAACATGGTGAAACCCCGTCTCTACTAAAAATACAAAAATTAGCCGGGTGTGGTGGTGCATGCCTATAATCCCAGCTACTCAGGAGGCTGAGGCATGAGAATCGCTTGAACCCGGGAAGCGGAGGTTGCAGTGAGCCGAGATCGCGCCACTGCACTCCAACCTGGGTGACAGAGCGAGACTCTGTCTCAAAAATAGTAATAATAATAATAATAATATACAACTCCCTAGCCACCTTCCTAAGTGCAGCTCTCCCTGCCCACCTCCTTGAGCAGTTCATGAACAATGTGCCACTTTGACTCAGAGACTCAGGGTCCCACAACTCCCAATCCCTGTCTGGTAATAAAGAGCCGACTGCCCTGCTCCGATGGCTCAAACCACGAGGCATTCTGAGTGATCACACTTGCTTCTGAGAGTTGCTCTGGTTTTTCCTTCTGTGATGTGCCTGCCCACGACAGGTCACCACATGCCCCAACACCAGTCCTAGCCCCACCTCTTCCCCACCATTCAGCGCTGTTTGTCAGAGATTTCCAGGCTAACAGAGGCTATTGTGTGCCAGGCACTGAGTTCATACAATACCTCCAAGAGGGTGCGCTGTTGTTACGGCCATCGTACAGATACGGAAATAGAGGCTGATGGAAGTGCAGCAACTTGCCCATGCCCAGCGTCCTAGTCAGAGCGGGCTGCCATAACAGAGGACCACAGACTGGATGGCTGAAACAGCAGACATTTCTTTTGTCACAGTTCTGGAGGCTGGAAGTCCAAGATCAGGGTGTCGGCAGGTTGCTTTCTTCTGTGGCCTCCCTGCTTGGCTTGCAGACAGCTGTCTTCTCATTGTCCTCACATGGTCTTTCCTCTGTGAATGGGCAACCCTGGTATCTCTGTGTGTGTCCAAATTTGCATTATTTATTTATTTATTTATTTACTTATTTGAGGCAGGGCCTTGCTCTGTCACCCAGGCTGGAGTGCAGTGGTGTGATCCTACCTCACTGCAGCCTCTACCTCTGGGGCTCAAGTAATCCTTCCACCTCAGCCTCCTGAGTAGCTGGGACTACAAGCATGTGCCACTGTGCCTGGCTAATTTCTAAAATTTTCTATAGAGATAGAGTTTCTTTTTCTTTTTTTTTTTTGTTTGAGACGGAGTCTCGCTGTGTCGCCCAGGCTGGAGTGCAGTGGCTGGATCTCAGCTCACTGCAAGCTCCGCCTCCCGGGTTCACACCATTCTCCTGCCTCAGCCTCCCGAGTAGCTGG